TGTTCTGTTTTCGTGATTGATGATAAACATTTTGTGCAACAGTCCTACATTATCCCCATAAATTTCCTAAATAAGCACACTTTTCAGCGTCGTGCAAGGTGATAGAAAATAGGGTAATGCTAGATAATGATCTCAACCTTTATTTTGTCTATAAAAATGCTTTGATAAATCAACCAAAGCACTTCTCAGCTAGAGAAACAAAATCTGCAAAGGGCTTCCTGGAAACAAAAAAGCCACCATTCTGAGTATTAGGAACATCGTGGGCAACAAGGTATGTTTTTTGTGTTAAAATAATTGGCATACACAAATATCAAAAATTTTGCCGGGAAAGGAGCATCCGACTGAGATTATAGGTTTTAGTCCTATAGTTTTTAATTTCAGTTTAGAGGACTTATTAATCTAACGTCTTCTGCCGGTACTGAAAGTCAGTCTTACTAAAACGTTTGTTAATTCACATAACACGAGGCTGATTACACACTGAGACAATGCACTGTGCGCCTGTGTCACTTAAATTCAAACGCTGGTAACTGTTAAGGATCCAGTATGCTCCCGAAGTTGTGCAGCGTAGTTTACTTTTACTATCCACATCATTATTTTTCATAAGACCCCAGAGAAAGTGTTTTATTACGCGTGGGTTTTCTCTCCTTGAATGTTCTTGATTTTGACACAGTTGAAGTCAGGATGCTTAGTTAACTGTCCCATGAAACTTCAAGCACAAAGTCAACTTTGTTACATTATCGAGAAATGGTGGCCAAGTTTGAAAAAAATGTTGTTGGTATTTAATATGCTCTCCTAACCCACAATCTGTGTACAGTCTTCCGCAAATCTTTTCTACGACGATCATCCTTAATCATGACCAGTCACTTACTAAGGGTACTTTTGGGTAACATTGCAAAATCAATAGGAGCATATCGTCCCATAGTGAAACTTGCCTAACCTATGCAAATGTTTCAGCACAACTTCTTGTGTAGTGAACTACATGGCCAACACGGTGAAGCAACCTAAAATCTTGTGTACACTAGAAGTTTGTACATCTAAATAGAGGCTACTGAATGGCCTTCGTCTGGCTTGGATTAATTCCCGGTAGGTTGCAGACTGCAAAGATCTCGAGTCGTAGATAGTATGACCATATTGTTGGGTTATTTACGAACTACCGCAATTTCGTCAAAGCAAGTCGCAATCTTGGACCAACGCTGACGGCTTCCAATCCCATTGAAGCCAAAATGGATAAAAAGAGCTACTATAGACGAAAAAAGTTCTGAATATGAAGTCAAAAAGCAGAAATCCACACCCTGAACAAAACGAAATCATAAAAACTTGAGGATTTCATAAATTTTTCTCAATACTCGATATGAATTACAGCAACATCGATTCAGAAGTCTCTCGGCGACAATAAGAGCAAAAGTGGACATAGTAAAACATTTAGCAATAACCTAGATATCCTCTGATATAAACACCAAAAGTACTTATGTAGCTTGGCTACTAGGTAGATTTTTACCTCCGCTTCTGTTTACAGTGACTAATTTCTTGTAACCAATGGGGAGTATTGCTTTAGAGAGGGGCCAGTACATGCATTTAGCATGGTTTAGATAGTACTGGTTAAAGCCAAAAAAATGTGAATTGAAAATAGCAAAATGTCTGTGTTTGCAGTACCTAATTAACAAGTTCCTTAATCGAATTCTTTTCATGAAATACAGAGTGAAACGATTTAGTTGATGTAGAGTGAGGAACAGTTTTTCCGTCCACCAAAAATCCACACTGGGATGCAACATTTATTGGTGCAAACTTTTCTGCGTACCTTGCCACTGTTTCTCCTCAACGGAGGATACCCCCTGCATACCTAATACACGTCGAGATGCCATGATTTTCGAGTGCAAACCGTATGGATCTACGGACTGGCCTCGACTGGCATAATTTTCTTACATTTGAAGAACTTAGGTAACGACGAAATCTCATGTAATCGCACATAGACACAACCATACTGAACACTGTACTCAACTGTATTTAACACATTTTCCCACACATTGTAGAATTACAGGCTGAAATAGATGGCTATCGATCCGTTGTTGACGATCATGTGAGGTCACGCTGTTCACATCAGTTGATGGAACGTGTGACCAGAGAATTTAAGTGTGTTCAGGTTCGCACATAAAATCCGGACTTTTAACTTCTACTGAACGCAATAGACCAGGGTGTCTTTGTATAGCAGCATCAGGGGACGTGCTCTTCGCGGATTCAACATACCCATCTGTAGTTACTTGTCCTTTAGGAAGTCTGGTCTTTTACTATGTGATGAAAATCTGTCTATTGGCTAATAAAAAGAAAACACTAAAAGTTAATCTGAAGATTACAAATCGGTAGATTATATTCTGAGGGGTGAAAACTGTATTGAATGAAATAATTAGCTTCTTCTAATTTTAGTCTGAAAGTTCAGATGCTATAACGGTATCTACTGCCCTCTACTAATTAGGCTGAAGGCTATTAACGTTCCAAGTGAACTGCATAATTGGCGCCTTTGTAATTACTAGGACCGAAGAAGGATAGTGAATTTTTCTGAAGCGTTACCTTAGATAATTAGCCTCATTATTAGCAACATTACGTTCTTTCAGGAAGAGCTCAGGAAAACAGTTATAGTCGAAATAATAATGAAGCCTGCACAAGCTAGACACCAGAAGAAGCTTACTTAGCCCTATGTGATATGCGCTTCGCGACGAAAAAAATGCTTTTTGGCACACCCTACTAACTTTGGCGGACTGTCCGCTTAAGTGTTTTTGAAAACATTGGGCATGAACATGGAATTTATCTGTTGCAGCAAAGTTTGTTTTTTGATGACAAGCCATCACGTCCCACTCGATTTGCTTGGAGTTTTATCCAGAATTCGTATTGGATAGTTCAACGCAGACTGCAAAATTTTGAGATTCCGCCCTTATAAACTAATCTTCAGTGTTAAAATGTGTACAGGTGATAAACATGTGCACTGAGGGGTAAATAAACATCGATGTCTTGCAATAGAAAAATGAGGTAATGGCTATTGTGCGAGTTACACAACCAGTGAGCGAAGCCATCCAGAGTGTCCATGACTGCAAGTTGTCTAGCATTTTCGTGTTTTCTTTGTTCGCAGCTGTTTTTGCTGCCTCCGTAACATGCTTAGTCGCTGATTGTAGGTTACCCTTGTAGGATCCTAACCTGGGCAGCACTCCTAGCAAGAAAGGCCAATGCGAAAATGCAAAGTCAAAATATTTTTCTAATTTAAAGTTGTTCGTTTTGTGGTTGAATTCAAACTTTAGCAGCTTTCCCTTCAATTAGGATTTCTCCCTGTAAGTAAAAATAATCTATGCTGAAAGGCCGAGGTTCATTGTACGGCTGTTTCAACTTTCTCTGAAATTATCAGCAGTACGCCGCTTATGAAACTTAGAGTTTCGAACCCAAAACTCTCGGACCATTGGTTGTAAAATTCAGCCTCAAACAGTTGAAATGACATAGGATTATCTCTTGCGCAGGCAGGGTGTAAATCCGCTCATCTTTCAGTCACGGGAACCACATTTCATGATCTGTTGTTGATTGTCTCCCTGAATGCCGAAGGAAGTACCACTCATCTTATGAAATTATTCTTCCTCTGAGCCACATACATATTGATCCTGGGGAAATTTGCTTGCGTTCTTGGGCATTATTTGTTTAAGTCTGCCAATACACCGAAAGAAAATAGTTCAATATTTTAGTTTGAGCAAAAAACCTGTGACGCTGCTGAAACTTAATTCAGTTTGGCTCTATACTATGGCCTAATGAACTTTGAGTGTCATCAAAACAGTAAAAATCGAGCTGTGACATTTGTCATAGGGTATCGGAGACCCGATATTGTCTTTCATTAACTCGACATTGGTCTAGCCGTTGATCAGGAATTCCCCACACTTTTTAACAAGTGAAACAACCAAATTCGTATTGCTTATGTGCTTAAATCCTTTCATGCTGCATAAAAGCTTATGCACGGTTGAATGCAGGAAGTACTTTTTTCTATTGTTTGTACTACTGTTTGTAGCGCATGCAAGTAGATAAGGTAGGTAAAGGCATGGATTTCAGCAAGTCATTCTGGGTTGTAAGACACTGACCTATTCTTATCGCAATAGATTTTGGCGGCAAAAAAATCATAAAGGACGAAACTAGACAAAACAAGCTAGTAGAAATGCTACTTAACGGTTTTTCGGGGCACCGTGAACAAGGTAAAGAATACTTTTTGTCACTAAATAAAAAGCATAGAATTTCCAACAGAGAAAAACTCCAAAACGGCAATTAGCTATTCAACCATGAAAGAGATTTGTGGAGAATAATATACCTGCCGAACAGGAAATACATGGGAATGATGGCATTTTGGCAGATCAGATCACGAAGACATCTTATGTTCAACCGAACAACTGTCAATTTAGCATCTTATTACATAGCCTATTCAAGGAAATAATATAAGTTATAGTGTTTCCGTCCTTTCAGTTTGCTCACCTAAACGTGGTTTTCGAAACTCCTCTCTCCTAACATTTTTAAAGGAAAACACCAGCTTCTGCGTCAAGGCGGGTAGCTAATTTTCTAGTTTCATAATCACTGAAGTATCGATGAGGTGAGCGTATTTAACTACTCACCACGGTACTCCCAAAAACACATTTGTGAAATATGCGATTGGCTAAAAAAAAGCTTGCCGATTTCGTGGTGCGAACACTTAAAATTTTCTTTAGTTTATATTATAAAGGTTTTTTTGGCCAGTTCGTGTTTGGATTAATCGTCATTACAATAGCAATGGACAAAGAAGCTTCTATATTATCAGTAGTTTATCAGGATGCTGGCAGTGTTGTGGAATATAGGTAGCTCGACTTCGCCGAGTGGCGAACAAGCCAACAACTTAGCAGCATGTTTATTGCCCAGTCAAACAAACTATCATACCGTTTATGTTTCTCAATAACGTTGTGCCAGTTTTGAAATGAATCATTTCGACAGTGAAATAAATTTTATTCCAGAATAAATTATGATATCCGTGGCGGAATACCCAGTCGTATACCCAAGGATGTATGCAAAAGGAGAAGAAAAGGATCCTCCGGCCAGTTCAAGCATTTCATCATATGAGGGAATCAAAGGTGGTGCACTGGACACGTCGGATTCGGATGCCGATAACAAAAGTTTTCATTATTCTGCCAAAACTTTGCAGGCGCGTACCCAGCCGAAACAAACAAACGGAAAGCCGACAACCAATGAGGACGACTGCAGAATTCAGGATGAATCGGTAATGTGTTGGTTACTAGAGCAGTTTGTTCAAAATGGAACAGGCAGTGGAAAAACATGTACGGATAGAGTGAAACCAAACGCCGATTCCGATTCACCTGTTTGCAAAAAATTCCTCTATTCAGCTTCCAATTCCCACTTACCTTTGGGTGGTTCTCCACACGAAACATCTGGCAGCAACGAAAAACAACAGTGGATGACGAGCCTCCCGTACTTGAACAAAACCAAACCCGAACATCATTTCTCCCGTCTTCCGAAGACAACTCTTGCAGCTGCGGAACACCACCTCCAGAAAGAAAGAAAATCTAATCCAAATACCTCCATTTTGGCGGTGGACAAATTGTTTGATGAAATTGAGTCACAGATGGTAAGCAACATACATATATAGCAAATTGAAAGCATAAAGGTCACTGGTATCACAATTTTTAAAGATTTTACAAATAATGTTGTAAAAAGCAAATGGTCATTTCTGGTAAGGTGACTATTCTACACTAAAGGACCCGGTGGGAATAATTCAGAATTTCTTGAAAGTCATACCAACATAATTTGGTGCTAACCGCCGACCAAGCGGTAATAAAAAAGCATAAAAATCCCTCATCTGATTTTTCAACGGAAACTTTTTGGGTGCGCTATTCTTTGCCCCCCCCCTAGAACGTGGAATATCTCACAATTTGTACAAATTAGTATCCAAAGTTTCCGTGGTATTTTAAAAGTCGGACATTGATTTAAAAATCTTTTCTGCTGTCTTGATCAGCTTTATAGCCGGCGCTTAGAGACTTTTTGTGACTCTCTGGAACCCAATTTCGCGCACTGGGATAGGTTGTACAATGCAGGCAGCAGTCAGCAGAAGCATATATCATGAAAGCATGGACCATGTTGCACCACTTGGCCGATTAGATCACCTTACATAACGGAAAAATAACCTCTTTCTGAGTTTATGGCCTAGACGAATTTAACACACAGTGATTATGCATTTGTTTTTAGTGGTATTGGAATGTGGTAAATTTTTTGATGATGCTGATGCGTGTATATGTATTCATGATACAAAATATTTGTGAGGTTGACCGCTCTTACGATCAAAGTAGCTGTTGTAATTCGCATCTCCCAGAATATCATCGCACTGCACAAAACAGACGTTTTTGGAAAAATCGAAGCAGATCATGCAACCTTAAAGTTTACTGCATTCTATTCATGTCACAAAACAAAATGTCTTAGGTTATCCTTCGCGTCAATAGAAATCCTTCTCTGGTTATCATTTGTTGGTTTGTTTTGGGAATAAGTTGACACAACTTCAATGGTGGAACTAGCGAACGGAGTAAAAGAACCAACCAATCGTTATCGTGATTCGTTTGGACTATATCTGAAGTCCCCAGGAACCTGTATTTATCATAGTAATATGGTCTGAAAATAATAACTGAGATTCCAGTGACATTTTTGCGTATAACATGGTTGCACATACGCAGGTGTGCTACTGTGGTTCAATGTGCGCCAAAATATTCCGCCACTAATGTAGCAGTTGGATAGCTCTTGTGCGCTGTCCTCAATATTTGAGCTAAAATCTGGTGGTAACCCAACCCGACTTTATTAAGTCTTAAAGCACCTATAAGGAGTTCTTCCACCAAGTTTAATATAAAAAATGCAACCTGTCACAGTTTTTTCTTAGTAATACGCATTAAACGGATGAAAAAAGGTTGGTCATTATATGAATTGGTAACAATATTAATTTGAAGTCCCAGATCTTACTTGTGCGCAGGATAAATATTAAATAAATTGTCGGTTTCGTTCAGTATAATTCTGTTACGCGGCGTGATTCTTCACTTGATCGACTCTTCTACATTAGATAGATAAACAAAGGTCATTTCTGTCCATGCCATTGGTTTGATTCTGGTGGTCCAAGCAGTAAAACTGGAGTCTTAGGAGAGAACCACAAGGCAGCGCACTAGTGTCCATTTGTTCCATCTGATTCCTCTCGGAGTTTAGAAAGCTTAACTTTTTTGCACAGTTGTAAATTTTACAACAATAATGTTCGCCAAAAACAACAACACCTTATCCTATTCAACTAAAGGATGCGGTTCGAAAGAGTTATGAAATGTGAACCAGCAGAGCATTTTTTATAGACATGCAAAATAAATTGAATAACACTCAAGTGTTATACCAAATGTTTTTTTCATACGCTCCATTTTACGTAGATCCATTAGGGTTTTTTAACCTACACATTTGAAGATATGAAAATACTGGTATTGGATTGTTCCTCCGCCAATGAAATCAAAGAACCGCGTAGTATGATAAGCTAAGATTTCCGTATTATTTTCAAATTAGGTTCTGGACGTATGCGTTTCCGCACAGATATTTCAGGACCGATTTTTTGTTCAATCAAGACAAACTTGTCTACTACATTTCGTACTAGTTTTTGGTAAATATTTTTAATGCTTTCCTGTATGCAGGCAACCTTGGATTCTCAAAACCTGTTGATTCTGAAACAGCTTCGTAAAGCCGAAGCAATAATTTACGACTGCAGGGAAGTTCAGCGAGCTTTTCTCCTCAGCAGCGCGAACCATGCGCATTCAGATAGCCCATCGAAAAAATCCGGGACCCATACCAGCCCGCTACTTTCTCGACCAGGTCTTCCCAAGTTAAGAGGGAAAGACGACGTCACAGCAAAGTATGTAAACACCGAGGTATGTCACACGATATCAATTCAAAATAACCCAGAAGTTCTGGACAGTTTAAACAGTACTTTCTGGTTTTTCAAGTCAAACTGCTCGACTTACAAGCTCGATTAACATTTTTGAATATCTTCATACCACTAATACTACTGAAGCCTCCCAGAATGTACCGTATTTTGTCAAAGCTAGAGCACACCCTTTGTGATCTTGTTACAGGATAGGTTACTATTTGTAATTTGGCTTATGTGATTTGCCCTTATTTGGGTTTTTGAGATGACGGCATTTGAATCATTGACTAAAAACGAATTTAACTATTTGCACATCTTTTTCTAGATATACTTTAACATCTCCAGATTTCTCATTTTATAAAATGTACCGTTTGTGGAATAGTCATTTGGCAGTCCTATCAAGTTCTTATTGGCTACACAATCGTCCTTCTGGCAGTACATGTAGGTTTTACCTTGAAGCACAATAAACCTAGTGTCCTTCCTACCTACATCACACATTCTATCCATTCCCCTACCTCGACAAACGTGAATTCCAAAAACCAGACTCAGATGAAGCGTCATCTTATGCATCAACATTTACCTTTCTACTTGGATCAGTTCCGTTGGTCTCCCACAGAGCATGTCTTCTCCTAATTTTTTTTTGTGTAAGCTTGTGTCGGCATAGAATCTGGCAACGTGTCAGCCACCCTTAGTTCACTCAGTAACTCAATGCAAGTTTCAGTTCTCCATATAACAGCTACTTGCACTACGGGGATACGGTCTGTATTGTTCTCAAAAGGGGTAATTATTGATCAAGAAAGGAAGTACAAATTTGTGGTTTGGACGGAAGCATTTGCATGCAGTTCCAGCAACCCATATTACACTCCCCCATATATGCAATGTTTGCTTGTTTCTATAGCCTGGAACGATAGATTATTGGGCCACTCAAATTAAAGTAATTAAATAAATATATGTTTCACGTGCTTTGAAGGGCATAATCCGCTAAATGTTGTTAATCAGAATAGTGTATTAGTTCGAAACTGACTTACACTTAGAAACGAATAATTTTATACAAACTACAGATATCACAATCATCCAACAGGATGTTTTGCAATCCGTCCCTTGAGCACCACCGTTCCAAAAAGTTCTGTCAAAGACAGAATGGTAATGAAGCTGTGGGACCTGGCTCTATTGGGAAAGATTACAAAAGCTTTTGTCCAGAGATTCCTACGAGACGTTTCTCCGTGTCCTACTACCCAGAACCAGAGGCTTCAACAACCGACAGCTCACCAGATCCTACCTGTATCCAGCACGACAGATATGCCTGTACTACGGTCTCCAAGGCATCTAAGCCAGAACGATCTGATAGAGCACACAGCCTGTTTCCTGAATCTGAAAGAGTGACAAAGTTAAAAATTTTGACGCAGCATCCTCGGGCCATTAATGGTACTTATCAAGGTGAGCTAGTGTCAAACAGCACGCAAAATCTGACAATGAAAGGTCTCGTAACAATGATGCGTAGACCATTTCGCCGAAAAGGAAACACCGCTGCCATCGAACCAACAAGTGTGGGCGCTCCAATGACCAACAAAATGATATCAGACACTCGGTGCACCAGTACGGGTGATGTAAAGAAGACCAGTCTTGGCCATTACGAAGCAACCAAGGAAGTAAATGTGAAAAATGTAAACTATCAGTATGTGAACCGCGTACGTTCAAATGAAGATTTTATTCAAGCCTACAACAGTGAAGCCAATCGCACTACAGGTGAGATTAAGGTTTTTCCAACAATGTTATATGTGAAAACTGTGTCTATTTCAGTGTTCACTTTTGAACTCAAACGAAAGACTACATAGAACGAGGTGATCATCCCATTGGAAGAGAATTTCTGATAGCTGCGAGTTTTGAGTTCCGCAAATTTAGACATCCAGTGGTGTTGACTAAGAGTGGATAAGAGTGGATAAGAGTGGATATGAAAGGTCAATGTAAATTTTGTCGAACTAATGTTGACGCAAGCTAACACACTGCCGAACAACAGCAAAACATTCTTATGTCAGGTTCTATAGCGAAAATCGCCTTTATTAACCCTGTGCCCTGATGAACTTCTACTGGAATGCGGTTTTCAACACCAGTTTTTCAACACCAGGCTGAATCAATCACATTCCAGCCTGGATGTCCTTTTCCGAGATAGGAAGATCGTTTATTTCAGATAAAGGCGTTGCGGTATGTTCCCACAGACATTCTTGTAAAATTTATTAAGCGACGTGAAAGGAATCATTAGGCCTTACTAAATAGCATACGGGTTACCGTATTTTCAGGTTGACCGTATGTTACTGATATTCTCTGGTTCCGATATCCCCCTCATTTCGCGATAAGTGGGACAGGTGATTAATTATGTTACATAAAACGAACTCTGAAAATCACATCGTATTCTCAGTAGGTGAAAGCGATTCGTTAGCTGGGATGACTAAACCATATTAGCCCAACTATTATCCTGTTTAAAGTATACCCACATAATTCAGATGAATCAACCTATCGAGCTTTTGCGATGACTATAGACCATCTGACGGTTTTATGAAGATGTTGAGTTGAATAAAGATAAGATGATTCCCACATTCCTCATTTTTACATTTTGACTCACAGGTAAACGAGACTTCTCAAACTCAATTATGTAGAAGTAATGTATATTTTAATTCGACGACATTGCCCTGGTAACGTCAATAGTGTGTAATCGTACTTTGAACAACAGAGGGGCAATGCTGGGACATTCGTTTGATGTTTTATCAGTCACAGGAGGAAGCCTGAAGGGATTGATGTTTTCCAATTAGGATGTTAAGTTCGCCAAACAGGGCCTAGTAGCTACCAGAACATTTGTGAGGGTATCAAAATCTCACAGGCAAGAATCTAAGTTGAATGAGTAGTAGAGACGAAAGTTACACCGACTAATGCCCTTTTTCTTATGAAGCAAACAGCTGTGAGGAGGGAGATTACAAGCATTGATAGTTCAGTCAATTTTTGTTGGTTGCATAGGGGCAAATCGCGTTTTATTTGGAAAAATTTTCCACTACGACGTTGCCGCATGTTGATTTTCTTCATGCTCGATTGCTGAGCATTATTGAGCTCCATCGTTCACTTATTCGAATACAATGACCAAGACAAAAGTCATCTAACACCCAAACAGAAGGCCCTAAATTGTAAACAACTCTGTCTGTATCAAACTTTTGGAATTCTCGACATTATTTGAATGAAAAACACAGGCCTTCCCTTATGTTTTTCGCATAATCAACAAATAGCACAATTGTCTGTTTTCTATCTCATGCTTTAGCCCAAACAACCACCGGTACACGCCAAACAAACGACGTATATACTCGAAGGCTGGTATGATGGAATTTCAGAGACAACAGTTGTTCATCTGTCAGACACCGCCTTATAACATTCACTATTTGTATTCGAATGACCAGCTAAGGTGTGAATAGACATTACAACACCTTTTGTAATGCGTTCACATTTTCTTCACAAATAGAGATCTGCTAATAAAGAGAAATTCAACCGCACACTGATTTTTTCCCATAAAAACTCCACGGTGATTGTTTAACGATTTTCAAAGGACAGCATGTGCACCTGAATTTTAAGGGAGAGATTCTCTTACAAATCACAGGAAACACAAGTAAAATCTACCATAACGCCATTTCGGGCATGTCTTTTGCTTCTGTTTTTCTCAAGGAGATGTAGATAAAAATCATTTTAATCGAAAAGCACATTTATTATCTTCACCACAACTGTGATATTTCAGAAAAGGATCGATCAGTCCGAGTGGTCGGTTCTGTTCACTGATATAAACATTGGAGTGCATCCCCCATTGTGCTATCGTGCCGTTGCTTAGATGCCACGACCTCGAAGATGACAGTTTACACTGCACGCAAAGTGCTGTCTGGGAGCAAAAATCTGATCTTTGGCAGAGAATGATCTGAGCCTGTTTACAAGTAATACGATTGCGGAAACTAGTGCCAAGTGATCGTTCCCCCTTAAATTCTGTTTGAGATGGGAAAAACTATTTTCAGCTAAATTTTATGTGTAATAAGTCTTTGAGTTATTTTTCCATTAGGAGGTAAATATGAAACGCAAATTTCCGCCTTCAAGGATTTCTTATTTCTATAAGTAGACTTAGTACATACATTATCATTTATTTTTGAAGAACATGGTCACAAACATAAAAAGTGAATGCAAGCGATGAATACTAGAGTAACAGTAAAATATGGGAGAAAAGACAGAAACGTCTCATTCGAAATCATGCCAAGAACGGTTCCAGTCTGATGAGATGAATCCCAAAGTATGTAAAGATTTTGATATGGAAACACGCTTCTAAAGACCAACGACCGAAGAAAGGACAAACAATGGTGAGTGCTCTCTAAGGCGCGGTAGGCGCTAGCATAGTCGAGACTTGCACATCAAGCACAAAGTATCCGTCATACTGGGTTTAGTGTGAGATTAAATGGCAAAAATGTACATTCAACGCCATGTGGCACGCATAAAAGTGTCATAAGTACGCAGAGAGCCCACAATGACAAGTAAACACAAGTCGCTGACTGCGACCTTAGGAAGTCCCAATCCAATCACGGTGTGATTTCTATATAATCCTGGACATAATGTGCATTTTAACTCATCAATCCACTATTCAGAGAAATGCACACAAGGACTCCTGTCATTTTTGATAAAATAATTAAAACATTCCATGTTATTTTTCATTTGTTCTGTAGAAAACTCTTGGATCAGCTAAGCAAGACAGATCTGACGTAGTCACTTTGCAAGCCTCATGATATTGGTGAATAGTTTGACTATAGTCAGAGTAAGGACGTTAATAGGCCTGTAAGCAAGAACAAATGAAACGAAGTATTTTACAATCTTAAACGGCCATCATCCAACACTGCGTGCATTTTGTTGATTGACAGGTCCTGTTGTCATCCAGTGAAAGTGGGAGAGTAGAGTTAACAAGCACTCTTTCAGCTTATCCTTTTTTCAAGTGTCCATCAGCTTATGTTCGCTCATTTTATTCAAGTTTACGTTAATTCTACAGAATAAACACTTGTTTTAAAATATGGAATATTCGATACCAAGTATCTTTGCTCTGTGGATGATTCACCCATGTAAAACGCGCGCACACGTCTACAGAATGTTAGAGAGTTGTTTGAAGTGCCCTGGAGACAGAAGCAAGATAGAATCAGCTGAATGGAACCACGTGCACACCAATCAAATAAACAGAGGTGGATATTTGGTTTGGTCTTTTTTAATTTTTGCACACTGGCTTCCTGAATGTAAGGATCTTTGTCAACCATTCACAAGATGTTAAAATGTGCCAGAACGTATGGAACACTAAATGAAATATTGTCTTCTTCGCAAATTCACCGTCCTGATGACGCCCTATTTGGGATTTCTTGTCTAAATCAAGGCTCTGCGCACATTGTGATCTTATTATTCTTAGATATCAGTCACTTTAAAATCAATAAAATAGTTTGTGCACTTGATATGACTATTGCTCAGGTATCGTAATGAATGGTCAACTTATCTCACTACACTTAACCAACGGGTTTGGTCTCGCATAAAGCAGTCATACTATGGCACAGAGTAATTAAACCAGCTTTTCGAAGCGAATAGTAGTCCTTCAAAAACTATAGTAAAATATCTAGAAAGCAGTAGCAAATGAAATGCAAGACAGTATTTAGTTGAAGAATATCATAAACAAGATATTCAGCAGAGATTCATTTGGGTCTCCCCTCCAAATTGGTGTGCAGATGTATGTACCTCGTGAAGGAATAACCGTTCTTGAAGTCACTACAAACCTCGCAGGGATGGTACTCATCTTGACTTGCTTCCGTCAGTAGAATAGCGGCGGAAAAAAGATTGTGGATTTGAGGCTCGCAAGATAGGCACAGACTGTCACATTCGAATCAGGAAAGGTATTGTGTATTAACTTACCGCTCCATAATTATTTCACGCCTATCAACGTGGCTAGGTAACACAACATGCTTAAGAAAGAAAATTTATAAACCCATACTTGGTTTCCTGTTAAGCCACTTGTTAAGCCACTTTACTAGCAGCTACCTAATAAGTCACCTAACCGTTTTCGTTTTATTTTCTTTCAAAATAATAATAATAAATAAATAAAATAATCAAAATAATAATAATATCGCAACTACAATTAGACCCATCCATTACGAATTTCTACTTGGCAACCTTTGGGCGCTTTCAAAAGACAGTTTTCGAGGAGTGATCCTGACTTTGACTGGTGAGCAACTTAATTCACGCTTGTCAGCAAGTATTTCAACCAGCTGATTATTCGACATTAGAACGCATTTTATTGACATACTACACAGCACAGTTTCATATAATTCCCCAAAAATCACCATTTTCTCTACACTAGGCAGTCTGCTATGCATAAGTGTACAAAAAATGTGGGATAGTTGTGAGTGAGACCATCCGACTGTTCATCTTTCTCACCCAGCCGTGCACATACAAACTATGTAATGTCGTTCACAAACCGAAATCCTGCGCTTGACCAAGCTACTGGCTACCTTGCAATTTCTAGATGCCTTCAAGACACGCTGAACTTAAATACACAACATAACATGTTTCTTTGGAGATGTATGCTTTGCTGAAAATACATGGCAATAACAGCCTTCATCTATACTCTCGACTTTCAATAATAAAGGTGATTTACGGCCTAGCTATTTGACAACCGGAACGAATTCTTTGCGCAAGGAAATACAGCAGTGAGAGGTATACTTTACCTATTCAATTTGCTGTTATGTTTAAAAGTCATCCACTGAATTTTCAGACGGAACAACTATTATTATTTCTCCAAAACCACAGAGTTCGGTACGAAACTCTTAAAAGCATTTAGTCTAAATGACTGCCTGAAGAGCTTAACATGATGTTCATGTTTATCGGCTGCATTACGTCTTCTTTCCGCTCTTCCGGTGCTGAGTCATAGACATCTGTAAAACATCGGTGTGCTGGCATAGGTATAGGGAAACATATCGCGTCTCCCATAAAGACGGTCATAGCTAAACGTCATTCAGACGCAAACTGGAGAAAAACGAAAGGAGGACACATGCTGTAAGTTGTGTGCGGCCAGAGCATCGTCTTAAATGTCAAAAGAAGTGAAAATTCAAAACTATTTCTCATTCTTGAACACAACTAATGACATTTTTAGAACAGATCAATGGGAAACTTGCACCAGCTTAAAATGGGACACAAGCTTATTTTTATCATATTCTTTTAAATAAGTTAGCTAAAAACGTACCTTAGAACGTTCAGGTAATCAGATGGTTGTTGATTAACGTTAGTAAGTTGCGTTCATGGTTAACTTCAATTATGAAAGTCTTCTCCTTCATTCATGCAGTAGCCATGGCCGTTTAAACTTACTTTTGAATTTTTGATCAAAAGTTGACGCAAGTAATGAACTTAACAGAAGAATATTTAACCGTCGCTGTTGCATCCACTGATTGCCTAACGCCAGCTGTTGTGGTTGTCAACATCTGTAGAGAACTTCCACGTGGTAATCTTCTTTGGGTAAAATTTTCATGAAAGTCCCACATTGCGAGCATAGTTAAAAAGACAGGTTCCGAACTGGTCCCAACCTGCAGGCAAAGGAAATCCATGTTAAATATTATCGAGTTGAACACATCACGAGCTCTGAAAGTGATATAAATAACAGGCAAGCTTGCGACAAGTGTGAATAACTGAATAAACGGCACTTAGGTCGATTATTCAGATCGCTTGAACACCAGCATCTTGAAAGTCGGCTTGTTTTCTAGGGGCTTATGGAAAATGTAGAATTTCTTCCTTCCGATGCGGGTCACTTGCAATTTACAAGTGGTGGGGAGTTTTTGGAGTTAGATTCTGAAGGTGGAGGGGGACTTCTGAGAACATTCGAAAAGTGCTGTACAGATGCCTTTTATTCATACGTATTTGAAGCAACAGCAAATTTTTTTAACCGTCAGCTGAAAATCTGACCACGACTGACATTCAGCTGTTCCACCGGCTTACATCACAAATTTTCATCGCGTACATCATGTCTAATGGTCCGGTTTTTCGAGGTGTATGCTGCTGATGTTCTCTGACAAGGACAGGAATAGCCTTATTGTGCATTTGGGCAATTCATCATAGGTTGGGATGTGGTCGCAGGAGAAAATTTCAAAAGCCCGTACAGTTAGTAATCAGAAGATTCATCCAGCAACACTCACAACTCCAGTTAGGTATCCAAGCAAAGCACAGACACGCTAGCACTTGCCAGAAAATTAGTATCACAGTTATATTTACAAAACTGGAAGAAGATCACATGGTCAATCAGGTGACTAGCAGCAGTTTGGCGCACATGTTTCGGTAGTCCGTTGGACGTTCATATTTCTTCAAATAAAATTCAAAGAAAACTAGCTGAGGCGGGCCAACCATCCGCAGAAGCCTAATAATCTGGCCACTGTCTACTGGCAGATCCAAAGTGGGTGTAGGCTAATCCAATTAACAGCAAAAAATTCTGGACAGCTTAAGTTTGGCTTCAGCAGTACTT